TATATATCCTGTATTGAAGGTTGAAGTAATTTTGTTCGTATGCTTAAAATTAAAGGATCAGAAAAGACAAGTGTACCGCATGACCCGAAAATACATTAGAAACACCCAAAAGCTCCAGTTTGAAGTCAAATCGATGAGTATTATGCTTTTCACTTCGAAAGTTCACTGCTAATAAGCCGGAAAAAAGAAATTGCATCCTTCAGATACAAATGAGGAACAACGCAAATTTTTGAATTGATAGAATTGGGGCGCGACTAACGAAATTCCTGCATCAGCGCGGTCGCGTATGGTCTTGTCATCTGACATAGATGTTATTGCTGTTCGATGCCTGTCAGATATAGGATGCGACAATATATTCTAAAATTACTTAAACGATATCAACGGGTATCTCTGACTCCAAGAGGATTTTTTGCGGGTAAGAAGAATGAGACAATGTTAATTTTTACATCTGACATTACTTACTGTATAATGTTTTTAAAGAAAGAGGTGTGGGAATTGAAATGTAGTGAAAGAGTCATACTTGAGGATAGAACTTAACCCCAGCCTCAACCCACGAGCAGTCTCAAAAACGAATTGTCTTTGGTTTTCAGCACGGAGAGAGGCCAAGTAACCCCACCCTATTTTCCTGGAACACCAATAAGCCCTACCTCACCATTGAGGGCATCACCAGGCAGACCTTTATCACCCGCATCGAGGTTGCCTCGAGGACCTATAACGTCGTCACCAATAGCACAGCAATTCCGATCACCAACAACAAGAACACCGCACTTAGAAAGGCCGACATCACCAGAAACACCCTGGTTTTCGGCCATTGAAGGACTGATGTTGCCATCCATATCGGATTTATCATCAACAGGGGCATATGGAACGCCATTCACGCTACCGGCATTGGACTCGACAACACGACCACCTGTAATTCCTGCAGGCGATATGTCGGGAAGAGGGCCGATGTTGCCATTCGAATCAGGATTATCCTCTCTAGAGTCTTCCGGAACCCCATTAGCTTCATTGCAACAGACAACTCCACCAACATCGGGCACAACAACGCCGTCACTACCGTCGTGTTGTAGATCCCCACACTCAGGATTTTCTAGATCACCAGCCTCAGCTGGGGCAGCGCATTCTACGCCATCAGGAACGCCAGCAGTATCTCCAATCTCACCAGCCAGCTACTCACCCAGGGCCGCCGTTAAGGCTGAACCGCTTGACTCCGCCGTTCAAGAAACAAGACCACAGGAGTAAAATGCATTTATAATACAACACAACTAATAATAATTAATAATAATAATAATAATAAAAAACAATAATTAATATAATATATATAATATAATATAAATAATGTAGTATAATAATAATATATATACTATTAATATAATATAATTACTATAATAATAATATTTAAATTAATACCTATTATTATTATTATTATTATTATAATTATTATAATTATTATTATAATTATTACAATTATTCAAAGAACTACTTCCGTTACCATTACCGCGCAAGTTCTCTTAAACCTTTAATTTTGCTATATGCGAGAGGAGTGGAAGGGTTGGTATTTCCAACACAGACCATTATATAAAATTTGTAGCTCGAGTTTCAATAAAAAATAGATGCTATTACACAGTAGAGAATATTTATGGTTATAGTATTTTGTTAACAACCCTCATTGCTATCATTTATTCTTAATTCCACTAACGTTAATAAATGAGTAGGGGTAAATATTCCGGGGCTCAAGAAAACGTGCGCGTACATTACGGGGTCGCAAAGGTAATTTTATTGAGCACGAGTGAGCGGGGTTGCATTGCTCGAAATTTGTGTCCCTAGAAAACGGTGTATATTTCTCGGCGCGATGCGAGATAAAACAATGGTCTCTAAGAAATGCCTGTCAGGTTTCTAACAAGGAATGTTTGGGTCCTATGAAATAGCACTGTTTTGATTACTTCTATTAGGCAAATATTTGTTCTTCTTTAGTTCTATGAACGCAATTTCAGAGAAGCAAAGGATGATTTTAATAATTCATAAGGTTCGGAGATTATGGAAATGCAGTATTGCATTGCTTTCTTCACAGAGATGATTATACAAACCTTTATTTGCAAACTCATAATTGAAATATTCCGTTTTGACATATGTAATTTCGTCAATATATTAAATCCGACAAAATATTAAAGATATATGTAGTCATACATGAAATATGTGCAAATATGTAATTATACCGAAATATGTAAAATAAAAATGATTTAAAGGCATTCAGAATGTGATGCAAACTCTAAAAGAGATACCGAATTGAGATATCGTCTACCAGAAAAAATATATATATTTACATGAAAATCCATTTCTTAGTGATTTACTTCACCCATCGAGAAAAATGTAGGACAGAATTGTTTACTCTTTGCTCTACCCACAAGTTAAGATGCACGTGAAACAATATATAAAGAATCTTTTGGTATGTTTTACTATTATTTTTATTTGAAATAAGTTGAATTGATATTAGTCACAATTTGAAATAATTTTAGGCAAATACCGGAAGAAGACTAAAAAAATGTCAAAATGATGTAATATTTTAGTGTGTAGTTGGTACGCAACCATTCATTGCAACATGCATTAAAAAGTTTGTCGTTAATAAAATGCGAGAATAACATGTAACCCAGGCAATTATTCTTCAGAGATTTCCTTTAATACTTTTAAGACATCAGATACTTTTTAGCCTTCTGAACATGTCTAAAATCTCAATGTTTCATTCTTGTAATAGATACAAACTTCATTGAAAATAAATGTATTACTGTTAGATTTTAAATAGCAGAAATAAACATAAACAGAAGTATCTAAACAATTCTCATGTTTAAAAAAATTGTGTGAAGTATACGAAATTATTACTACGTTTACAGCTATCTGCCTTTTTATCCAATTTTCTGCGTTATTGATGTTGCATTTGTTTCGCCGTGGTTATAGGGTCAAGCAGGAGCAAGTATTTAAGGAATCACCTAGCGCTCGAGGACTGCCTCCGGGTCCCAGGTAGGCACTGAGAAATCGCATTCCATATATTGATTCAAAAAATATGACAGAGCATTACCATTACCTTTACCTACACAATTTTCCAAATTTCATAATAGTTCATTAATCTCTCATTGAAAATATCACTTTATTATTTTTGTGTTGTGCATTTAGTTTAAGAGAATCGCCTTGCGATACTGGATGCTCAACGACTCCTCAACAGCAAGCAGCAGAAGCAGTGGCATCTCGGTAAGTGGGAAGGAACGCAAAAGCCAAGGAGGCAACGAAGGGAGAACTTGGTCTGAATTTTATTGGGAATATATTTTGATATACACATAAAAAGAGACGTAATACAAAAGAAAGGTATACAATTTATTGCCTTCCCGTATACGTACGTATATACATAGCATTATACGTAGTATAGGGAAAGTGTAATATAGGGAATATGTAATGCTGCGGAAAATAGATTTCGAGATTTCAACAGAAATACACATTTGGGAGTCTCCTGATGCCGAAAAAGTCGTTTTTTTCTCAAAACGTCCCTGTCCGTCTGCGTGCATTATTAGCGCTTAAACTGTACGAAGGATTGTTTACAAATTGAAGAAACCTCTGTCCATCTGGCTCGAGTCGATCTTTGAGAATTGAAAAAAAAAATCTTTAAATTTTGGGGGTACTTTACATGAAGCCTCCTGGAAATTCTCAAAGTTTTCTCAAAAGCGGTTCCAAATATTTTCTTTAAACTTTTGATTGGGATAGTACTAAATGTACTCTATACGATGATATAAACGCCGTATTGCTCTATCCCCCTCCAAATTATAAAAAAAATATTTTTTTAACTTTTTTCTTACGTTGTTAGTATTTACATTAACGGTAATTTGTACACATTAATTTATTTATGAGTACATGTGCTTTAAATAATGTCAGAGTTTCTCGAAAATTGAAGTTTTCTATTTAAATTAGCTCAAAATTTCCGCATTTTCCGAAACACTCAAACGCCGTTTTCTCCCAAACCCCTCCAAATTTTATCTTCAAACTTATCGAAAATGTAATGATAAATGCACTTTTTAAGATGACAATTATTTTTGTTGTATTATTTTGTTTTTTCAAAAAATACACAAATGTAATTTTTTAAAACTATCTCTCACACCTTTAATATGCACATTTACAGAGATTTGAAAACACTATTGCATTTGTAACTAGAAATGCTTGAAATAATTTTTATGAAATTTTTCGGAAACTCAATAGTTTTCTGCGAAAAAAGCCACCGAACTCAGGGTACACGAGAAATCGCTTGGTGAGCTTGCAAGGGATCATCCGAGAAAAACCCAGTGAAAATGCCAGGGCAGAAAAACCCAGTGAAAATGCAGAGAGATCCTACAATGCTTCAAATGCAATGTACAGTTAACGTTCTGGCGTGAAGTTTGAGTCCAGTTTCAAGTTATTTTCACTTTTAAAACAATGATTTACAAATTACGGATATGTTCGCACGGGTTCAAATTTTAAAGACAACACTGAAAAGCGTTCATGATTTTGGAATGATTGTACATACGAAAACTATACATATTGAGAATGTAAAATATAGTTAAACGTTTACAAGTAGATATTTTTATTTATTTAGGTAACAAGTAATCTTATTGGCCAGAACAAGACCAGAAATAATGGATAAGAGACTTAAACATGAAATCAACAAATACTCCCCATTTTCTCATGATTCATCACACAATATTACAGTAGTTAATATTTCTATTTGCAGACCGTCTCCTTACACAAGCCATGTTCCAACTTACGGAAGAACTGCAGAATTGCAACCAAGAATTGGCGAAGAATCACTATTCCCAGATCTGTGAGTTAATTATTTCAGACCTCCTCTGCTAAGTCTGGCAGAAGATTCTTAATGTCTAATTGTTATATAGAGTAAATAACCTAGATCAATAGAAATCACATAGAGTATCAATTTTTAGAGGATAGTAGAAGAAGATAGGTATTGTACACTTTATACATAAAAATATGTACATTTTATGGCTTTGCCGAATTTATAAATTGATTTCTATAGAGAAAAAATGATGCAGAAGAATTGTCCTCTCTTTCTTAGTGGGAATAGGGGTGTCACCATGGATCTACCTGCGAAGCACATGCTGTTGATTTGTTTCCCTGCAGAAAGTGATGAATTTATCAGATGTAAAAATTATTGTAAGAATGCTGTATGCAATACGGCATACAACAGAGGCTTCTGGGCTCTTTCTTGGCAAAATTTCGGAAAAGGTACTCGACCGCATTCTCAGTAAAATCTTACTCCGCAAGTACTTCCAAATCAGAAGTGGGGTTTGAGTGATGCAACCTAAGGACCTACCAGAGACATCGAACGAAGAAATTGACATAAAAGCCATTTCCACTGAGTGCCACAAAAAGGTTTCTCTTTAGAAGCTTTACGTTATTTACCTTTTCTGTAGACACGAAAATTAGGAAGAAAAGGAATATTTTTTGCTGAAGAAATTGTAACACAATTTTACATTTTCTTATGACCATTTCGTCACTATGACACATCCTTATCTTTTATTAAATTATTACAAAACAGAAAATGTGTTTTTTACACAAACAGCTTCGTCGTTGAACATTATAAATTTAATGAAAACATAAGAGGAAACTTTCGTTAACGTTGGTAATTTCTCTTGGAGGAGCTACCTTGCGTCGCAGTGTTTTTGTGGTTTAAATTTAATTAAATGTAACCCAAAACAACCGTCAATCAAGAAATTACAAAACTCTACAGCTCTTTTGTGCCAAAATAATTTTTCGGGCAAGTCTCGAACGCAGTTCCAAATTGGCAACACATCGATGCTCCGGTCGTGGGATACCACGATTTACACGCGGGATACATAAAACAACCTTGAGCCTGCAATGCGTGTAAGACGATCGAAGGTGGTCATGTTTTGTCATGAACACGCAGTGTAATTATGTAACGACGTTGTACGTTCTATTTGCCCCTGATGGGTATGCAACGCGTCGGATGCTCGTGTTTGGCGGGTACACGAATCTCTCTACGTCAGAAACCTTTCCGTGTATGAGAAGTTGCCTACATTCAGGGGCAAATGCCACACGTTTGAATTTGTTATATGAGATTTTCCACCACAT